GGTTTAGGGTTTAGGGTTCAGAAGTACAGGGGCTAGGGGCTTTGATTTTGGGAGGGTTTAGAGTTAAAGCGTTTTAGGGTATAGGGTCGTGTTTCGCACCTTTTTCCGACTGCACGAGTCAAAGCGGTTCTGGGTTTAGGGTTCGTACGGTGCGAAACGGGTTTGCATAGGGCTCCTAGAAGGCTTGTACAAGGCTTGTATTCATGTAGGCATGCAAGGAAAGGTTCATGCAGGGTTTATACAAGGTTCAACAGGAGGTTCATATCCGGGCCTTATAGGGTTCATGTAGGGCTTCGAAAAGAAGGGCTTGGGGGTTCAGGAGGATTTCGGGCCAAGGCAATCGGATTTCGAAGAGGCTCTTGAACAACGGAAGGGAGCTGTCCTTCGAGTATGCCGGATTAGAAGCAGGAGGCTTTCAGGCAACGCCGCCTCCGGATCATCAACATTCCGATCCGGATGGTATCGTTTCGCAAGGCGTCGGTACCTGTGGAAACAGAGCACCCGAATCGACTCACCACAGCCATGAGCCGGAACTTGAAGCCTCATACCTCGCCGGGGCACGCTTCCTTAATCTCCTCCTTCTTTGCCTTTTGGGGCACCTCCAAGATGTCGTAATACCTTGCAAAAGGCATCCACAATGTACCGTTGAACAAGCGACCCAAGAAGCTCAGCCCCCCACGTCCGGCTCCTGCTTTGGGCCTTCGGACGGGACGAGGACGAAGAGCTTTCGCTTTCGGCCTTGTCTGCACTTTAAGCGCGTTAAAAACTTGCTGTCACTGTCAGCACCAGGATCCTCTTTCCCCTTTCAACTTCTGTTCCTGCTCTGCTCTATGATTCTTCCCTTCCGGTCGTGCGCGAGTCCGGAGGCATGACGGTAAGCGATGAGAGGAATGGAAGCAAAGCACCGCACATTCGCTCTACTTTGACCGCAAGCCAACGAGGTATTCCAGCAACAATCTGAGAGCCAAACGGAGAAGAATCGCAGCTGCTCCTCGGCCTGGGTGCGCGGGCTTTGCGAACTTCAAACTTATGCCCTTGCGGCTGTAGAAGCAGCGCACCCTGATGGCCGGCCGCAGCAAGCACCTGCACTCGCTCTGGGGGCTACGTGAGCGGACTATGCGGGACTGAGAGAGGTGTCGTTGGCAAACCACCTCGGAAGCAGCGGTCGAAGCAAGGCCGGTTTGAAGAAGCCGGCCCGAAGCATTTTGGGGTTTTAGGTTTAGGGCCTAGGGTCTTTGGATGCTTGCACACTGGAATCCTCGATGGATTGGCTATGATTGGCTTGCTGCGTGGGTCAGGTTTGTCAGCATGATGCGTACCGGTATACCGCCCACACGCGCTTGGGGCAGTATCGTCTATACAGGTTCGTTAGATGATCAGACTTGTCTAGACATGTCTCCGCCTGGCATTTGCGGGCGTTTCATGGCACATGGTCGAAGCTGGCAGCCCAGTGTGCAAGGTAGCGCAAGTGAACAGCATAAAGCATGACTTGAGAACACAGGAACCTCGCCGCGTGTGCAGAGCAAACTTTTTCAGATTCCGTAGCTCTGAAAAATACCTGCATAAACAACCCTGCCCCGAATGATCCCCATTTAGGCTTCCCACGACCCCACACTGCGGGATTGGCACAGGCATACACATGAGACTGCAGGCAGTTGTCTTCCCCTGAGCCTTTAACCCCTAAATTCTTGAAGGCCCCCTTTGTCCCTTCAGCCCTCAAACCCTTCGGTCCTGAAGCCCGTAACCCTCAAAAACCCCCAAACAGCCTCGACAACCAGAACCTCTAAACACACAAGCACGGGCCGTACCCGAGCCGACACTTTGAAGCTCAGCGTGCCAATCCCGAGCGGGGAAGCCATGACTTGGATGCGGGGTAAGAAGTACCAAGCAGCAACCCCACAAGACGACAGACTAGAGAAATTTTATGTACCACTAGTAGTGTATACAAGGTGAACAGCCTGGTAGAACCGTGCAATATAGTATAGTATCATACAGATTAAGCAGCGTAATATAACTCAAGCTGTCTATTGTAGCAGTAACATACTACTGATGTGACAGACGGCCAGGACCAAAGGCAGCGACAAATCTTAGGCACTTCCAGCCTTGCTGACCACGTGAGACCTTTCTCCGAACAAAAGCTTACACGAGGATACACGCACCGCTTCAACAGAAGCAGCACCCCGTGAGCTTTGTGAAACCGTATCATGTACAGGTGATGCAGGACGAGCTTACCTTCCGAGTCACTGTGGCAAGGTGCTAGCAATGCTTCAGGCGTTGATTGCAAAAAGGGCAAGACGGAAGTGCGACGAGCCTGGAACCTCGACCACGCCCACGTTTTGCAGCGGGAACCTGCACGACACCGTGCATATGCCATATCATGCGGATGAGATGTCATGCTATCATAGTCCACGTAGCCTTTTATGTCAACCGAAACTGAGCATCGCACACGGGCGGCAGGACGCGCGAGAACTCGCGGTGACGAGGTCAAGTCCTGACAAGCAAATGTGGCTGCTGCAGATGCCGTTACCAACCATCACTGCGCCACGGAACTGCCTCGCCCTTGCGAGAAGCCTTGCTGCCTGCAACGTACACGAAACCCCAGAAGGAGAGATAGCCAATGCGAATGTGTCAAGCGGAGACGGGAGCAACCTCGCCTCGCCCGGCACGGCCACGTTGATCCGCACTGCCACGCCCCGTCGCGCGGCCTCAGGCAACGTCCGATTCGTCGCTTTCGACTTTGCTTCCGGGCCCTCGCCTCTGCCTCTGCCCACGGATTCCTTTTTCGAGGCCTGCGTAGCCGCCGCTGGCCCTTCGGCAATGTACTACGGAGTGCCATTGCTCTGCGTGCCCTTGCATTCCGAACTTAGGCCGGGACTCTTCATGGGCTTCCTGCGCCGCCGTCAAGACTAGGGTTAGTTACCGCTACGATATGTTTGGTCCAGATGTGTCTGAGGCAGTCCTGACAGCACTGACTTTTGAGACCTTCTGATTCTCCGTGCCCTGACAGATTTAGTTTGGGCATCGAGGCTCAGGTGACCCGATTTGTCCTAAACGTGCAAAGCTGTAGCCTGTGACTGCGAGCTTGTGTGCTCCAGCGATTGCCACAGGGGGTCGCCATCTGGCCTGCGCAAGGTCTTGAGGCCCACGATGGGAATCAAGACTACGACAATTTAGCAGCTGCATTTAGAAAATCCATGACGGTTTTTTGAGCTTACGATAGTACGAAAGGCTGAAGTCGGGCCTGCCCCTCGACGGAACAGAGCCTGGCGGGCCTCATGCAGCAACAAAGCATAACACAGCCATCCCATGCCAAAGCCCCGTCGCTCTGAGGCAGCAGCCGGTGGCCCGCTTTGCACCCGAATCTTGGAGCGGTTTAGGATTCACGGTCTAGGGCTGAGGAAGGCCTACAAAGCCGCAGCCCACCTGAAGCTGATGGCAGCTCTGCAGAAGCCTCGAAGACGAAGAAACACTCAATCAAGATTGGGGACGGAAGCGAAGAGGGCCGGGCAGAGTCCGCGTGGATCGGAGGCAGTCCTCGAGAGTCTTCGGCCCCCCCGTGCAGAATCTGAAAGTATCTTAATGTTACGTCACCCCTCCAGGGCACCCTAAAACAACCCCAAACCCACGAGTAACTCAATTAAACCTGAAGCAGCTAAACCCTTGGCCTCAACATAATTAAGAACCCTAAAGCATTTCAACACTCCCCAAACCCTAATCCTTCACTCACGGTATAGGCCTCCCCTAGTGCCGGCAGGCGCTCATGCCCCTCGCAACCGACGGCGAAAACCACAGCCATCGGGACCATAGCACCCGCGTACCCGGTACCAGAACATGTTCTCAAACGAGCAGGTTTCGGGCTTTGGCTGGCGCCTCCAAGGTGAAAGCACGTCGTGGAATTAGTTCAAGCGGAATAGGTCTGGGTGGTGTGAAAGAACGAGAAGCCTTCCACAAACAAGCTTTGACAGCTCAGTGCATAAGTACGATGCACTTGACACGACCTTGTCGCAAGATACTGTCGCCTACGCACTGTTCTAAATGGCAAACCCTAAACCCTAAACCTTAAGCCGTCATCCCTAAACCCCGCACCCTAAGCCCTAACCCAATGTGCAACTCCGTTGCTGACCTCGCTCCCTTGTCTTTGGCGGGTCGTCGGGCACCCCTGGCATCGCAGGAGGGCACAAATCGCGGCGTATTGCTTGTTCTGTGTATTCTTTTTCTTCAAACATGTATTCTTTTGTATCGTGTTGTGCCATATTGTGTCGGTTACTGCTTTTATTCGTATGGTAGTATAGTTATATGCGTTCACGTAGCCACATACGCTGTATCTGTGCGACAACTATAACCCATCTCTAATATCGCAAGTATATAACTATATTTAAAATTCATACAGCTGACAGCTAGAGTATCTGTGTTAGATTTATGTTGTTGCAACCTAAAACTATATATCTCTGTGATAATGTTCTAACCTATAACTACAATAACTGTGTCTGTATATATATATATATAACTATATAACCATAACTTGCAATCAATACCTATCGTACATTTTCGCCGACGTCGGCTCCTCGCAACACTTGCCGGGCCGGCGGTCTACGCAGTCGGCGACAGCCTGTCACAAAGAGAGCTTTTTGAGACCTCTGAGGACTTTAAGCATTTCTGGATGGCTTTGGGTTGTTTGAGAGTTTGAAGGCTGCAAACTTGCAGGGCTTGGGGTTCTACGCAGTCTACGAGTACGGTCTAGGCCTCAAAGCGTGGCGTAAGGTCCCTCGGCTCCAGGTACCAGGTCCTGCGTAAGTGAGCCGGAACTCTTCGAAGTTTCAGAGAAATTCCCCTGAGGCCGCAGCTCCATCCGCCACCTCGCAGCAATGCACGGAATCCCGTCGAAATGAGGGCCGGGCCGTCCGAGACTCACACCACTGCTGCCGCCGATCTAAAAAAACATCTTCCCGGAGCTCAGCAGCTCTGTCACTTGGTTTGTCGATGTTGGGGAGTCGTGCGGGCTTCTTGATGTCAGGATGTCGTTTCCTGCAGATAGGAGAATTGTCGGGGTGTGTTGAAGTGGGGGGGTGGGTCTTAAGTCAGCTTTCCGTGCTCTGGCAGAGTTCCTTCCCTGCGCAACACTGCCTGTCTTAACTTCCTGCCCCGGACAGCTGCAGATGCACATGCTATGCCGACAAAGCAGGTACTTGAGGTCGCCAAGGAAGATTGACACGACTTCGAGGCATGACAGAAGTCGGACGAAAGCGGGGCTGACGAGAGTGTCACCGTTCAGATCGACAAAATCGTCGAAAGGGGCTGACGAGAGTGTCACCGTTCACATCGACAAAATCGACGAATGCACAATGATTGCCCATTGCCCACAAACAAAACCTGCGGACGTTCTCAATGAAGCGGTCTTGGAAATCTAAACCTTCTCAGCCAGTTAGCCAGTGCACAGACTCTAGACCGATGTTGGACGACCGAGTTGACGGTGACTGTTTCGCTGAGGTGCGGCTTGGTCTTTGGTGCCCGGGTCGGTAAGCAAAGAAAGTGCTCGCATGAAGGGCGGCCCCTGCCCATGCGCCCAAGTAAAAATGCTCATATGATGGGCTTGGAAAGGAGTCGTATGGCTCTTGAATTGTGAATCACATTTCTCCGAATGGCATGAAGTTACTTTGAACTTCAAAGCAGGCTTGCTCGGCTTCAGCAACCGCGGGCAGCCCAGCTTTAACGCCAAGGAGCCGGGTGTTAGAGCAAGGGGTCAGATTCCAAACCTATAGTCATGTCCCCACGGCACCTAGCCTGCTCAGTTTTTTTCCAGAATGTGCCATATATTCAGGCTAGCATGTGCAGAGCGAGCTAGCGTGTGCGTTCTACGAACCATTCACTGCCAATTCTACACAAGAGAACTGGCTTGCCCAAGTTGTTGAGCGGGCTAGCAATCTGAGCGGGCGCGTTATTTTGGGAGGATGCAAAGAAGGACAGCTGAATAAGAAGCGGACACAACTGCATCAGCAAGAAAGGTTACGTCACGTTATGGCATCTCGCCGCAGCACGAAATGACCTGCCGAAGATGATTTTCCGCACACCGCTGTGCACTGTACATGCGTGTGGGTCTTAAGGCTTTTTGTCTGCGATCTACTGCCACGCCATACGCTCCACATTGGAGAAGGACTCGATGTGCCTGTACCTGGCACGGTTTAGGGCCTTTAGGCTTTGGGTTGCCCGTGGGTCAAAACTTTCGGAGACTGTCTCTTCCAAAGCATGGAGGATTTGCCATCTGCCCAAAGATGGTGTTGTGGGGCAGCCTCCCGGGCAGAGCAGGGAAACTCCGAAGCTGCAGAATGGCGAAGCTGGGGGCCTGTTTCCTTCTGCATCTTCTCGTAGAGATCCCGGTCTTGTCTGGAGGGCCTGATGGCTCATAGCATCGGCGAACGTGGGGCTCCGGCGCTATCACGAAGACTTTGGGTTTGACTCGGGGAAACTGCCTGAAGCCCGCGACGTAGGACTGCTCCGACAGGACAGCCTCCCAAAACTTCAGGCAGGCACAGCTTCTGTCCAACCTGTTCCCTCCAATGCGGGTGGGCATCATCGGAGCCTCGCTCTGCACCTATTTCTCGTTTGCACTTCTTTCGCCCTGGGCCTCCAATTTGGAGACATCCGAGGTCGAAGCCGAACCTGAAGCCGAAGGAGCCCAAGAAGACCCACCGGTACCAGTACCGGCCGAGACCGAGGCGCGCGCCTTTCGTCGAAGCTACCGGCTGCGGCGCCGATGCCGCTGCCCCAGTCGCTGGGGCCTGCATCTTATTGGTAGCACTAGTATTATTATTCATGTGGATGTTCTTCGTATGATTATGATGGTGATTAGCTTCATTATTTGCTTCTCACTGGGCAGCTCTCCACGACCGAGTGAGTCTCGACTAGACTTGACTTATCCATGATATCTCTCTAGAAGAGATAACCAATGTTTACACATGGCTACCCATGCTCTTGCAGTTGACAAAGCATTCGTGTGGAGTTCGATTCAAGCAGCTTTCTGTGGCAGTGTTTGGCCTCCACCTCAACTCTTCTAAGCGGTATTCCGGCATTGAAACCAAAGCCCTAGAATCCCACATTCCAAAACTCCGAAACCCTAACACGGCAAAACCCCACACCCGAAATCTCTCGACGCAGTGATTTAAACTCAAAAATAGTATAATACCTAAAATCGTGCGAAAGCTTAAAACCCTAAACCATGAGCCGCGTAACCCTTTATGGCAGTTGGTTGCTATTGCTCCAGACCCAGCCTGTCCGCCAAAGTAGCTGTCAACCTTCCCCAAGTCCTGACCACGAGGGGATTGGGAAAGCGCCGGCTCCAAAATCTGGGATTCTGTGAAACACTAAATGGGAGTTTCCGAAAACAGGGGACCCTAATATAGTACCCTAAATAATAGGATCCTTTATAAGGACCCCTAAATAAGGTACCCCCAATTTTCGGAAACCCCCAAATCGAAAATGACCCAGCAGACGATCTCAGAGCGAGACGTCTATGGGGACATCTTTCTGCTTGAGATCGTCTGGGTCTGTCGCCTTGAAGTTTCGGAGGTCCTGGCAGAGGTTTAGGGTTTAGGGTTTAGGGTTTAGACTGGTAAGTGAGCTCTGGAACTGCTGGCCCCTGACTCTCCACGATTTGGGTAGTTGTCTAAATGAGGGTTCCTTTTAGGGGTCCTTTTTATAAGGGTGCCCCACTATATTGGGGACCTAAATAAGGACCCTAATTTAGAGAACTGCCCGATGTATCAGCAACTGCTCTGGGGCGACCTGTGCACACCAAAAGCAGGGGGTCCTTGATGCGAACTAAGCCCTTGGACCACTCATCCGGAGCGACAAATGCTATTCTCTCTGCGCCGGCACGGTCTGCATAGTTAAAGGCCTGCATGGCAGACACAGACTAAAGATTGCCCACTTCCCGAAAGATTCCTGCATGACGGACTTTACTGGATTAGACAAGAAGAAAGCGTCTCGATATGCCATACCAGGTCTGCTGCGAATGTGCCCCACCTTTGCAACTTTCTTCGATGCTTCCGCATAGACCTTGAATCGAGGGCTTCAAATGGTGCTTCAACGGCCTATGCACTCACGGACTCACTCACTCACTCACCCACAATACCGCGCGCATGTGTAGAACGCCGGCAACTTAAATCAAAAGCTGCTCGTGACATCGTTCTTGCTGTGGCTTTGAGCATTGCTGTCGTTACTTCTTTGCAGCAGCCAAGGCTCTGGCATCAACGGACTTGCCTGCCTTGCGCAGCAAGCGCGCGACTTGCAGTGCCTGAACGTCAGCTCATCTCTCATGCTTGACCCTGAGCCAACCCACACCGAACGCCGTTTTCTTTCTTCCTCTGTCTCGGCAGCGTTTGGAAGCCTAGAAAGGTGCCCTTTTCAGCACAAGCTCCTCACAGAGTGGCTGATGGGAGATAGCTTGTTCCTGGTCGAAAGACGTTGACAACAGTCGTGGTCTCCTGCTGCATCTCCGCGGTATCGTGTTCGCAGACGGCCCGAACTTTGAGCTCAAGGTGCGCCGCTTTGAGCGCTCGGTGCAGCACTCGTCAGAGACTCGGAGATGGGCATCGCCCACCGGGAGAAGACTCACGTGGAAGGGGTCTACGCCGGGGAAGGGACTCCACCGTGTAGGCTCAGTCGTCTTCGCCACCCAGAGCCTGACCCGGCTTGACTTCTCGATGTCAGCTGTGAAGCTTCGTATCACCTGACATGCATGCACACAGCTGATAAACCGGATGGCAAACATCTCACACTATCAGTTGCATCGGTCAATCGGGAACTCCTACGGGCAGCAGCAAAGAAGAAGCACCACCACAACGATGACGACAGCGATAAAACAACGACAACGACAACAACAAGTACAAGTGGTGACGGCAACAGCATGAGATGGTTGCTTCTCAACAGCAACATCATCACGGTCCTCGCAACCAACTATCATCTCCATCGTCATCATAATCATCATCATCACCATTATCATTACCATCATCATCATCATCGTTATCATTACCATTTTCATTACCATTATCACCATCTTCACCATCCCATCCTCTACGACATCGCTGCGTCGTCGCAGAGGGCGCCTCAGCTCTTGGACGCGTGCGGCTCGGAACTCTTCTGCCGACACGACACCGTCATTGTCGGTGTCCTTGGATGAAACGTGGACCCTAATTTAGTACCCTAAATAGTAGGATCCTTATTATAAGCACCCCAAAATAAGGTACCCATTATCGCTTCGAGATCATGCTGTCTATGAGCATACGCAGTGTCGCACAGCAGATGCCAACTTTCCAAAGATGCCGTGCCAGGTGGCCTTGCCGCCCTTTCGCCACCGCTGCTGTGTCATATTCACGTAGTGTCGCGTCAGGAAACCCTATGTCATACACCCCAAACCCTAGGCCCTAGACCCTAACCCTTCACACTTTAGGCTAGGAGCCAGCAAAGCAAAGTCTTGAGCGGCACGGTTCTCCGCGCGCTCCCGCGCCGCGCCGAAGGCAAGTACCGTCGTCCGGGGCCGCCTCCATTGTACCACTGTTCATCTCCACAGAACTCGCTTCTTCGTGTAGAAAAAACAGATTTCTACATGTATTTAGTTGATGGGATTTTTTGTGATTCCTACACTTCCCTCTAGTCTCTGTGTCTGTCGATGGAACTCACTGAGGCGAAGAACTCACGTCGGGCTATCGAGTAACTTCTTCACTTGATTCACTGACAATGTATGCTTCGCTGCTGGGGCGTGCCTCCCTTCCATCTGCCGGTCAATAAGTATCTTTCGCTCTTCTTGGCCAGTGCCGCCATCACGGCGCTCCTCCAAACAGTGATCTTCAAAGTCGCAGGTCTCCGTGCGAGCTCCGGACAAGATCTGACTGCCGAAGATGGACCGCGGTGTCCTCTAGGTGCTGCCGAAGGGTCTGTACACGCTGTGCCTGCCAAGGAACCGGCATGACCACAACTTCTTCGAAACACTTCTTGTGGCCGTCATACATCGATCCAGCCTCATCGGGAAGTTGCCAGTCTGGATGCCCTGCTAGTATTCCCAAGATAGATCGCGGCCTGCTTTGGCCTCCGCATGGACGGGAAACTCTTGGGTCGCTGTGATTTGCGTGTGCGCCGTGCTCCCGGCGCATCAAGTTGCTTCGTGGAGGCGCTTCTTGTTGAAATCGGTGCTGCCTGGAAATGCCCCCCAAATGGCCCAAGTCTAGGGTTTTTTAGGGTTTAGGGTTTAGACCTTGAAGTGAGTGGAAACAACCCTAAACCTCAAAGTTCTCCAAAAGACTCTGGTTTCTAAGAGCACACCAGCCTCGAGGCACTTGCATCATCCTTTGGCGGATCCATGTCGTGCAGGAGATGGCTAGCCTGTGAGGCTTAGGGCTTTAGGGTCAAGGCTTAAGGGTGCCAATACGAAGTGTTATGCTTTAAGGCTCTGGGGCTGTGGGGTTTAGGGCCAGAGCTGCCTTCTCTCTCAGCTGCTCCGCTGCCTGGCGGCGGGCGCAGTTGTCTCTGACCCTTCCACCGAGCAGCTCAGATTGCTGCGATCCTGCTGCAAGCCCTCGGCCGCTGCCCCCAGGCGCGCAGAGATGGGTCTGACCGGGTCCATGCTGCCCAAAGCTCCTGACTCAGAGATCTCTCAGAGAGCCAAGGGCTTTCAAGGATCCATCTCTGCATGCTGGAGCAAAGAAAGCAGCCGCGTCCTTGCATGTAGCCTCGCATGCGCATGGATCAGAGCAGATGGCATTAAATTAGCATGATCTGGCGAATTTGTGCACATCGCTCGGTCGCCCGGCCTGACATACGGCTGACGAGCCGGGCAACGCTGCGCAGTGCCACGCTGTGCTCCTGCTGCAATGAAGGTGCCACTGCAGCCACCACCACACGAGGCTCTGTCATGTACTTTCTGGCTCACTCCTCCAGAGCGGTGGTAGACGGCGTAGCATCGATCAGCTCTGCGCAGGTCCTGGGAGAGAATCCCTCAGTGGCTCTTTGGCTTCACAAGGGGCAATTCTGCTCCTGGAAACAATGCCAGTCAGCCAGCGCAAGAAGGCCGTGAGCCTCACGCTGTTCGCAGTTTGCGACATGCCGTGAGCAGGAATTTACCGTCCCGTGCCTCTCCAGGCTGCTGCCCACCGCCCATTCTCCGTGCTGCCTCAGCCAAGGCGGCCCCTCCCGTTTTGTTTCGAAGCATCAGTGTGCACACTCCGAGCCTCTGGCCTCACGGTCCAGTCTGGGGCTGATTGCAAGAGTTCTCCCAACTCCGTTGCCCATGCCTGCCATTTGGCAGCCAGAGCGACCCTAAACCCTGAAGCACTAAAGCCGCCGAAACCCACCAATCGAAACCCATAAGACCGGACCCAACCACCTTAAACCCCACACCCTGAGTGTCCGGTGCCTCCGCAGCAACAAGGACGGCACCTCGCTGCGCCGATGCTGCCAAAGGCTCCGGAGCAAGCTCCGCCTGCGGAGTCACCGGAGCTGAGCTGCTACTGCACGAGGGGCGCTGAGAATCAGGGCTCCGCTTGGGAATCCCACTACATCCCACTGCTTAGCGCTTGTTGTCCTTACGCTACAATTATTTTGGCTCTGATTGTCTTAGTATTGTGTCTCTATCCTTATATATATATATATATATAGATACATATATATATATATATTCATTTTGTATGTGTATATATATATATATACATAGATGTGTATAAATACATATATATATATATATATGTATATATAGACTTGGTAATTCTTACACAGGCCCGGGCCTCGCAGCGCCAGGCCGGTTCAAGGCCCTTCAGCAGGGAGCGGACCTGGGAGACTCTCATGCCCCCCGAAACCCCGAATTCCGAATATTTTAGGGTTTTTGATCCCCGATATACGCTGAAATAGAGCAGGAGTACAGTAGCTTAGAGCAGAGAGAGGTAGAGTCAAGTAGAGTCTAGTAGAGTCCAATCGCGTCTGGTATGTTCTGCATAGTCTGTGTAGTGTAGAGTAGACTAGGGTAGTGACTGAGTAGTGTTTAGTGGGCTAAACCCCAGACCCTGAAGCTACGGAAGACTTCAGCGATTCGCTTTCACTGGATTGGCCGTGCTGCCATGGACGGAGCTGTCTTCGGGAGGATATCTGGCAAGTCCTCACAAGTGTAGTGCTTACACTTTAAGGCTTTCGGGTGTGGGATACACAAGTCTTCACGCGAATCTCAGTTGAGCTCTCCTTTGTTGCCGCAGGCTTTGCTGCCCCTGCCGTTTCGGCTGCATCTCCCGGCAACAGCCTCTTCTCGCTGTCAAAGGCAACAGCTGCGGAGTTACACCACTTCTATGAGATTTGCATGCACGACACCTCGAAGGTGCGTTGTGCGGTAACCTGCCAGGCTCAGACGGGCTGCAACATCCAGGAGCATCCGCCAGCAACTGCTCAGATCTTCTCTGACCTCTGTGCCGCTTGCGCGAGGCGAGGTGCGTGAACGAAACAAACCTGCAATCGGATGACTTGTCTATGCAAACCTTTGAATGTGCAAGTTCAGAACTCGAACGCATCTGCGCCATATGCCTGCTCACAATCCGTAAACGTAGTGCATTTCAGCGCCTCCCGACGCAGGAGTGCAGGAGCTAACTCAGGTCTCACGGGCAGTGAATTTCTGGGACAGCGCTCTTCCGCACTAACAGTGAGCATGAGAGTGGATTGCCCACCTGGGAATACTCCTCCAGCACCTGCAATGCCGAATTCCAGGGCTCCGCAGGTGGCCATGGCATGGGCACGGTGGACGCCATGGCACCATATAACTATCATACAAGTAGACAAGTATATAGGGATGCATTGAACATCCTCGTAGCTAGAAACATGCACGGCAGCAAAGCCTTCTGGATACCTGCCTTGAGAAATGCTGCTGAGCAACCGTGGCTGCTGCTGCGTCACAACTGCAAAGTCGTGCACAGTATTCTACTAGATGTGCCTATACACCCTCTCCCCGCACCTTGCCCATCATGTCTTGATTGAAGGCTGCTACCACAAAGTCCACTTTGTGGGGCAACTCGGGAAGCACCTCTGTTGCAACGTAAACGGAAACCTTCTTGCAGTTCGTGTCATGCAACGCCTTCTTCTCTTTGAGCAGCTCGTAGATGACGCAGTCTCCAAAGCCGAAGCCTGCGCATGGAACCTGCGCGCGGCCCACCCACCAGGCAGTCCCTCCACCTCACCTGGAAAACCCCTTCTGAAATTCTCTGCTAGGCCTCCCACATCAAGCCTTCGCCACCATGACCCAACTTCCGCACCCGTAAATCATCATTCGTTGGCATTTGTAACAGGAGGAGTGCTTTCCTGACTCTGCCGGCTGGCATGCAGATCGAGGCTTGTGCTGGCCTCCTTGGGAGATCCATAAAGCGTGAGCAATCTGTCGTACCTGATACCGAAAGTCGGCTTGCTTTCAACTATGCAGAAGTTCGCGCTGAGCTTCAAACCGGCCACCACCGCAAATAGCGCGCAAAACGCCGGCACGGTCGAAACCTTAAGGAAGGCAAAACCATCACAGGCGCAACTCAGGCTCCCGCCCTTCGTCACTCGTGTGCGCAAGGGGGTCCTGCCTTCGAAGACCACACCGGTGTAATAGGCCAGACCTGCCCAAGATGACAAGCAACAAGGCCAAACAGAATCCTTACCCACTATCGGCCAGACCGTCAACAGAATCGCTTGGTTCTTAACAACTGTTCCTATCGTTCCCCTGGCGGTCCTCGAACGACGGAGGCATCGAAGATCAACCAGTCGCCAAAGCCTGCGGATGCTCGCTTTGCCTGTTTGCCGGACTGGCCAGGCTCGAATCGAGTATAGTATAGTATAGCATGGTATGGTATGGTATGGTATGGTATGGTATGGCATGGTACAGTATAGTAAGCTTAGTACAGTATTGGGCATAGTACAATATCAGCATGACAGCATGTTCGTGTCTGAATAAAAAGCAAAGGTTGAAGACACGTCGATGCTTCGACGCTGTGCCTTGGCGATACACATCACCAATTCAGTAGCTAGTCTTCAATTCATGTACGGCCTTCACTCAACGTAAGCTAAGGTTGTGAACTGCATGGGGAAATCTGTTGCAAAACTCTGCACATGTGGTGGGGCGGAGGTTTGCTGCAAAAGCTATCTAACTCGATTCATCCCAAATACTCCAGCTAGCACGAAAGCAAGCAACAGAAATAACAGTGGGCAGATGAGCTCAGCGTGATCTTTCTACGTGGTTCACAAGTGATAAGTGGCTTTCGGGACGGTCCTTGTTTCGTGCCGGCCTGCTTTGCCGTTACTGACTGGTTCGTGTTTCAGGAAGACTCAAGCTTCTCGAAACGAACCGAACGCAGCAACCGAACTGCAAGGAACACGAACCACTCTTAAACGCACCTATAACCGAACTGGGCCTCCAGTTCGAATTGGAACCGAACCGAACCCAACCGAAATGGAAGTTCGCCTGAAAAAGTCTCTGAAATCAGTGTTGCTTTCCTCATGCTACTCTACCATACTAGACTATATCATAGTATACTAGAGCATACTATCTTGAGGTGGCGGTAGTGCCTTGAATTGCAAGGCAAGGCGTTTCTGCTTTTTGGGCGGCGGCCTTCCTCTTCCGCCAGCGTGAACAGTTGCCGCAGCTCGACCACCTTGAAACAAAGTACAGCATAGCATAGCATAGCATAGCATAGCATAGCATAGCATAGCATAGTATAGCATAGCATAGCATAGGATAGCATAGTATAGCATAGTTTAGTACAGCTTAGTATAGTACAGCAAGGGATATTGTAGTATAGCATGGTGTAGTAAAATAATGGAATGTCATGTAGTTTGGGATAGCATTGTATAGCAAAGCGAGCATCAAGGGCTCTGGAAGAAGTCGCAGGCCTCTGGGCTCTCGCCAACCTGGGCCGTCGCAACATGGTGCCCTTCACTGAGGAAAACACAGCTGGAATGCTTCAGCGTTGCTACATAGATCTGGGACGGCAAAGCGAGATCACGAAACGGAAACCAGGTGATACGAAACAGCAAGAAAAAAACTCCTTGAGGAAGTTGACAGCACGCTGCGTACCTTGGGCCCTGTTCATCACTCAGGCCGTGGCACCCGCCAAGGATGCGAACTCATCCAGCGTCTTGGCCTGAGTGTCTTCAGGCAAGCTGCTGACGCAACGATTTTGGACATCTGCTTTCCCTTCGGTGCAGTGGTATCAGTATAGCATCGTATAGTGTCTTACAGGAGTGTAGAGTAACTAGTATAGCATGTACAGCATAGTTAGTGTGTTATACCCTATAGTAAAGACTAGTCGGTGCCAATTTGCTGCTAGCTCCGGCTCTGGGTTGCCTACGGCCGTGGCATTGACGATGCGCTGCGCAACCGCCTCGGTCATGGGGCACAGGCAGATCCTTCGCAAACCCGAGCCTCTCTGATGCAAACATCGGGGACCGGATTTTACGCTCCAAAGCATGGGTTGAAGGGTAACAAAAATCAGAATACAGTATCCTGATGACATGGGCCCCCGAACCCAAACCCCACAAACTCAGATCAAAGTAGGCTCCGTCTTTGGAGCAACTCGGAGGGTGCCGAACTCTATGCCAAGGCTCCTGGTCCAAGCCGATCTTCCTGGGAAGTCGCAGGTTTGAGCACGTTGTTTTCCCGGAAGGGCCATGACGGGGCCTTGTGCTTAGAATAAGGCTTTGGGAGTGTGTTGTAAATGTATGATATAGGTCTTGTAGAATTAATCAAACTACATTGTAGTGCGATTAATTATACAAGACCTATATCATACATGTCCAGGGAGGTTCACCACGAAGCTAAACAGAAAGCTTTCAGGCGCGCTCGAGCTCCTCGCAAAGCCAAGGGGCTCGGTCAGTTCCTTTACGACGGCCTCGGGTCCGATCTTGTCCTCAAATGCCGCCCCGCGTGTAGACAACCCCTAAACCCTAAACCCAAAACAACATCAGACCTGCGCAAGCAGCTGTCCTGCTTGTCTATCACGACACAGGTCTCGGTAAAGCGCTCGTCCTCAAACTCCACAGAGCCAGCAGGTAACGTGTACCCTTGCCGCCACTGTCTCGCATTCATGCCAACTTGGGAGCTACTCATCAGGGAAGTGGAGCATAGTTTCCTTTGTCAGAAGCTTGCCTGATCGTGGAAGGCCCTATTCCAGCCATTCCAGCCCCACAGTCAAGATGAACGTTCCGAGCATCTTCATCTTTTTGCTCTGTTTGTGTTGCGAGAGCCAAAACCCTTCCGCTCCAGGCCTTGTCAATGCGCGGCAGCGTGCATACTCGGCCAAAGATTCACTAGGCCATGCCGGAATGAGCTCGAGGGGACCACTCAGAAAATTTGGACCGTACGAGGCACTTTTTGCAAATGCCGGGCTGGGCCCCGCACCGGTACACCGGAATTCTTCAACACGGCTCCGAGAACTTTCCGCGAGTTCACCTTGATACCCACTTCCTGCAGGTGCTTTGCAACACAGACCCCTGACAGTGACAGTGAAAGCTTCCGAATGCGGCGCGGTTCCGTCGCAGCAGTCCTTCGACGTGATTCCCACCTGCATCTGTGGACGAGGTGACCAAGCGGTACGGTAGACATGACGCTCCGGGTCGTCCTCACTCACACCTCTCACTTTCTCGCTTATGCCCCTCCGAGCTTTGCCTCTTGCTCTAAAGGCTGGGTCCTAAGACCACTTTACACAGTCCTTTCAAAGAGTCCTGCTGAGGCGCTGTGCGCCGGCTCCAGCTTCACAACGGACCGTCCCTTCCGGCTTGGGGTTGGGCTTGGGCTCAATTGTTGCAAAACTGCTTCAGGTGTTCGGGTCCGGGTTGGTTCCACGGACTTGTCGGCCTCGCTTTGATTCCGATGTCTTGGGCTCGAAGTGCCCAGGCCGAAGATGTACGATTGCCGATGTCTTGGGCTCGAAACCACGGCGAAGGCTAAGATGTACGATTTGAGGTGCTGCCCGCAGGGCCAAGATGTTCCTGTTCCTGTTACTATGCGGACTCCCGTACCGTCCGCGTTTTGGGCTCGAAGTGGTGCCCCTCGGAGCACAGATAGGGCAGGGGCCAGTAAGGGCCACAGGGTACAGGTCAAGCCTACTCGAAGCCTATACAGCCGGCAGACTATTCTCACAACGCCGCGATCTGCTGCTCAGTCTTGGAGGGTGTTCGGCGTTCGTGCTCGAATTCGTTCCGAACTGAGGCTGCTGCATGCTCAAAGAACGACGTGATGGCTGAAAGCAGCTCGACCTGGACATTGCCAGCGTGCCAACACGCTAAGAGCAGCGGTCAAAGGTGCCTCAGCATGGATCGAGGTGATGCCGACGATATCCATGTTCCACCTGGGCTTCTCCATGCTGCTCAGTCCCGGTTACCCACTACCCCATCCCCAAATATCCTCATGAAATCTGTGGGAAGTTTCTAGAATCTAAACAGGCTTGTGAACTTTAGAAGCTCCCAAGGCTGGTTTGCGCAACTCGGAGGCCTCCTGGACATGGAGACGTTGCTGGCAATCGCTGGTAAGGCTTCTGCTGGTAGTGCTCCCGCTTCCGACCGCGCTGGCAAGTCTCGAAGCGCCTTGGTGATCCAACTGCTGGGCTCTTGTCATGTCGGGACCGGGTACATGATAGGATGGGAGCGTTCCCTCTTAGCAGCAGGCCAACACTGCGGGATGGAGGACCACTTCAAGGGAAGAAGAGCCGACATCTCACCTGCGATAAAGAAGATCTCAGGCTTTGCTTTCTGAGCTCCACGGGGCCCTTTGCCTGTTTCCGCACGCATGAGGCTGAGAACCTCAGAAAGAGCTCCCGGCCGGCAAAAACAGAAATACATAGATAATGAGGATAGCAATGACAAAAAGAATGAAAATAATGTATGTAAGTCAGGCTCTCTTCACAGGTCATGCCCTCTCTGAAAGGGCCCAGCCATCCGGGCCAGAGACGGGGTCATCTCAGGCCTGCGACTCTCACCGCACGCAAGGGTGCCCACAGCTTGTGGCTGAAGGGTGTAGTGAAGTTGGGGGACGCCTAGCTGAACCAGCTTCAATACTCAAAAGGAGGCCTCAGAGTCACCGCCGCACCGTCTTTGTCGATGAAGTTGTACCTGAAGCCATGTCTTTCTCGCGCTTCCTTCCTTTCTTTCTCTTTCTTTCGCCAGGGCTATGGTGAAGGGGCTTGACTCCCTCCCCTTCCTCCCTCCCTCCCTCAGCTTTCCACCAGCCGAAGGAATTTGATCGAAGGCTCCGCTGCACTTATCTCCGTAGCAAAGTGCCCCTTGGATCCAAAACTACCTGGGCGCACATTTGTTCGGTGATCTCCTCGCCGGCCTTCCGCTTGTAAAGCTCCTGACACCAACTGACTTTAGGGTATATGGGTTTGGGGATTTAGTAGAGGGGTTTAGGGTTTAGGGTTTAGGGTTCAGGACTTTGGGGTATAGGGGTTTGGGGATTTAGGGGCTGGGGGTATAGAGTTTAGGGCGCCGGATGACACGAACTTTCACTGCTGGAATATGCGGCCTCGTTCTCCAAGACCGGCGCGTCGTACTCCTGAAACCTCGACCCGAACACCATCATGCTGCAAGGCATGGCACGAGCGGCGATGGGCAAGCATCTCAATTTGCTTCAAACACATCCGTAAGATCCGCTATGGCAGCCGTAGTCTTCTTGGAATCTGGAACTGAGCCCGAAGCCCATATCTACGAGCAATCTCTTTGAAAGCTCCTGAACCAGCCAGGGCAAGGATCATTCCAATTGCCACATCACAGAAACTTGCATAACTGAGCAGCCCGGACAGAATGAAGCCGATAGCAGACAGTGCTCACGCAGCATACATGCAGCCAGGCGTCCAAAAAGCCAGTTGCGAAACCTGCGACTGCGTCTGAATCCCGCATTCGAAGGAGCGTCAAAACAAGAAGCAACTGGCCGATTGCAAAGAAGAAAGCATTAGAGGAATGCCTCGTACTACGTCCTTCTACCTATGGGCTCTAAAACCGGGAAGCCTGAAACTTTGGATCGCAAAGCCCGAAAGCCCTAAACGTCACTTACTCCGAAAACCCTATTAGAAGCTGACAAAAACGATCCTGCCTCATGTCGCCGGGGAAAAAGTCTCGTGTCCCACTGGGTGGGTCCAAGCTTATCGCCGGACCTTTGGCTACAGCCTGCGAGTGAAAGAGAGACTTCGGGGCTTTAGGCTTGGGGCTGCTGGGTCGGAGGCCCCAGGGGTTGCTTGTTAGGGTTTAGGGTTTAGGGTTTAGGGTTTAGGGTTCCCTCTTTATGGGTTCGAGATTCCGTCCGCAGACTTCCGCGGCACATCTCTCCGATGCAAACGACCTGTGGCACCATGTCAGAATGAATCCGGCATGTCAGATAACGTTGTCACACATCAGGATCATAGTCCGTAACGCGCTTGCATGTGAGTATGCTGCAAAGCACAAAGATACGTCGCATGTTGAGTTGGGGTACAAAGGAAACTAAGTACACCTGTCCCTCTTGTCTTCTTCTCCTTGTTCTACCATCATGGAGGATCGTTGCTGTTAGTCGCACACAGAGGCTGATGGAATTCTGCTTGATTGCTTAGATGTGCATGATGTGCTTTCACAAGGCATGACACCTCTGCTTTGTCTCAGTCACATTAGGCAGCTCGTAGCAACACCTTCACTTTAATGGCTCAGCGAACTACGCCACGCCTTCTTGTCATCTTTCTTCTTGTCATCCTTCTTCTTGTCGCCCTTTCCCTGCGCGCCAGGCGCACTCAAGATCCCGGATAACCGGACGATCTGCCACAGGTGGGAGCCTTTTCCTTCTCGCTCATCCCAAGCGGCTCCACAGGCCTTTCCATCTACAGGACATGTTTTTGGCCTTTTACAACTGATGCCATACATACTTACACACGCATACCTACCTACCTACCTACCTACCTACCTACCTACCTACCTACCTGCCTACCTCGAACCTACGTCCTCACGAACACACACTCCCAGAACCTGCCCCATGCAGGAAATGAGGTGAGGAGGCGACCGCAGAGCGGCAGTCCGCGAAAGTCCGGACCCTACACCACCTACGCTGTGAACAGAATGCCATCGGAACACAAGGCTCTGCTTCGGACTGAATGAGCTCGATGAGGAAACACCCACAGCTTCCCCTGCGCATATGGCTTCCCTTTGCATTGAATGCGCTGTCGGATGCAGCAGGACTTTCACTTGCCCTGTGATCACGGGTCTCGAAAGATTCCATCTGAAACCTTCCGAGGTCTGCGAGACTTTGGCGGATCTTTGCCACCGGTCACAGGAAGCTCCCACAACGAGGCCTTGCCTGCAGGGAGTCATCAGCAAGATGCATGGGACTTCGCGCAACAGCAACGGAAACGCCTCTGATTGCTGGCGGATTGGAGCAAACAGCGGTACCGTCATCCAAACCTCGATACTTTCCAGAATGGCCGCTCGCTCGGCACATGAAAGCAACCCCTTACATTGCTTCTAATACCAACTAGTGCAGACATAGGACAACCACAGGCAAACCCTATTCAACTGGTTTAACGCTTCGGCTGTGTTGATGAAAAAGCAATCAGGGATTGAGGGCTTGAAGATTTCTGGCAAAGTCCCGGATTGCTGAGGCTGCAACAGAAACTCCGCCCTGGCGCCTGAAGTAGAAGGCAGACACTACAAATAGACAACATCCTGTATTCTCTCAACCACGGCCCGCTGCTTGTCCAGCGCCACGCTGGGTCTCCAGCACTGGAGTCATCACAATGGCTCTGCCAATCGCGCTCAGGCAGTGGCCAGCCTGCTGCAGTTAACTGCGCACGGAGGCGGAATGAAGGCTCTCACAGTACACGTGAGGCGCCTCTGTCAACAGATGTCCGGCATCATCCCTGGAGCAATGAAAGCTTCGAATCTGCATTGAGCTGGGCAGTGTACTGGTAGTATCACTACCTAAACCCTAAACCCTAAACCCTAAACCCTACACCCTAAACCCTAAACCCTAAATAGGTCACTATGCCCATCGTTGCACTGCCCGGCTGGGGCCCCAGCGGAGACGAAGCCCCAGCAGCCCTCTCGGCTGCCGGCAAGCAAGCCTCATCAGCCTCTGCCCATGGCCTGCTGCATCTCAGTATAAACGAAGTCATCCCCAGAGTCTTCTGACTCTTCTAGGCAGGATGATGGCCTCAAAGCCAGTTTCTTGTCCTTGTCCTCACCCGCCATCTGGCCGTGAAAGGTAAAAGGCGCGTCCTGGCGCAGTGCAGGGAGCCCGCCACAACCCAGCAGTTTCTTCCATCTTCATTCAGAAATTCATCAGCATTGCCTGAAACCTCAAAGCCTGGCCTAGAACATACGACAGTACGTCAAGACGACAGGAGTTCTCAACAACTTGACTCGCTATGAAGCCCCGCCTCGAGTGCTGGCGTACATGGGATTCCAACATACTACATGCAAGACCGTACGTTCCCCTGTGACCTGGTCAACGAAGATGCGCTTCATGAGCGTCGAGCCTGCCAAGATAAGAAGTGGGGAAGAATTTAGCTGGGCATTCGGATCTACAGTCTCTTTCCATCCCTGCCCGTGTATCCGCCGGCCTTGGCTTGCGCAGCCTTGGAAAGGATGCACTGCAAGCAGAGGCAGCAAAGCTGTCAATCTGCCACTCTCTGCAGAGGGCTGTTATAGGCTATGTGCAGACAAGGCTGCGCCCGAGGCGTGTTAGGATGGCTTTCATCTCCATCGGATCAATGGCCTCGTCCTTCACAGCCTGCCACACTTGAAGGATGTTGGCATCTCAACTCCCGCTCTCCCACCTCATGCATACACAAGTCTCCCAGCATTCATGACGGCCTGCTTCAATGAGTAGGAGCTTTCCAGACAAGCATTCACAGTGCTCATTGCATCACCTCCGGATAAACAGCCAGAACAAGACTGCATGAAGTTGCGAGTCAGCTTTGCAACAATGTGGCCTCTCTCTGGCTCGCTTGCGAGGGAATAGTTATCACCTTCTATCCGGGGAAGTGTCTCGTTCTGGTTGGCCTGCATAGGACGTACAGAAAAGCTTGCATGTCTGCTGTGTTGAAAATCTACTGCACCGCACACGGGATGCACAGGAAGATAGTTTGAGAGCACCGAGAGCGTGAGGTGCCTGGCTCCTGGCACCAGCCTCCTGGCATCCAGAATCTGGGTCGGCTATGTGTATGTGTATGTGTATGTATGTGGATGTGTTTGTATGTGTATGTACGTGTATGTATGTGGGTATGTATGTATATATGTACGTACATACGTAGGTATGTATGTATGTATGTATGTATGTATGGATGGATGGATGTATGTATGTATGTATGTATGTATGTATGTATGTATGTATGTATGTATGTATGCTAATATGCATATGTGAATGTCTATGTGTGTATGT